ATATTTTTATACCTTTAAACTGTATTTCCTACAAAATGAAGACATTTGAAGGAGCTTTTTGGTTTGTGCTTATTTTTACTGAGCCCCCTACTGAGAAACTCAGCTCTTAGCAAAGGAAGGGAAGACCAAGAACCTGGGAGCTGTGTGGCAGAAGACACTCAGCCTTGAGCACGAACAGCTTAAAGTTGCACTACTGTGGAATATACTTCTGTAGCACTGTTCTTACACACAAGAGAAAAATTTCCTGTTGAAAAGAAACACTGCATCTTGGGTTTGTGAAAGGAGCATCCATCATCTTGAATAGAATGTCTATATAGAGGGAGAAACACAGCACTGATGAGAATGCAAATATCTCAGGTTTCCATAAAAAGTTCTTCAGAACATGTTATCTATCAAAGTTATGCCTGAGCTGAAAGCAAGACTACACTGTTAGTGGTAAAGAGAACCTCAGTTGGCAAGACCAGTATTTACTACTGGACAACCCTAGGGTCACTTATTTATTCTATTGGTAACAGCTTCGGTCACGCAAATAGTCACACACTTTCATCGATTTCAAAATAGGAAACAAAGATGAAAAGGAGCAAGCTTCTACACTTTAAATTGGGTTCAGGATAACCAAGCCCCACTGCTTAAGATATTCAGTCATAACTATCCAAGTACTGCAGACCTTCTCCCAGATGCCTGGTCAGGGTTAACTCATGACAAATGTTTTTCCTGAGGTATTCTCACAATTGCTTTCCGGGTTCCAAACAGTGGATTTACAAAAGATAAACAACTTACATGACAATTTCCTATTTTAGTAAAGTTCTAGTCTCTGGACATAGAGTCCTCTGTCATCAATAAAAGCACAACTCATATATTGCCCATGATTATTACCGGTGCCCTTCACATATCCCACTTGCTGACATGGCAAGGTTTTGTCTCTTACTCGCCATCATCTCTCCTCAGATCTATTTTAAACACCTCCGGCTGATGTCTGGACACAAGGACACCTGAACTGGTATCAACAGCATATTCAAGAATTTTTTTTTTTTTTTTTTTTTTTTATGACATTGGTCAGAAAATGCCCACCTGCTGTTTTTCAGCTTGATGTTTTGCTATTGTACAGCAAGAATAAAAAAACCAAACCAAACAAAATACCCAAAAATATTTATAGTCTTTCTGCAAAACTAACGCATTTGTGTTATTTGCCTGTCAGCCCCAGTTTGTTCCAACAAGGACAAGGTCAATATGACTATTACTAGATTAACTCTGTGATGCTATATAGCAAAGAAGCCTTTAAATATTGATGCTTAGCAAAGGAAAAAGGCTCACGATAAAAAAATGGAACAAAGGACATAAAATTGTTTCCCTAAAGAAGTCAATAAAATAAATAGGATTCCAACACTGATATGTTTGAAATCTTCCAGGGGTTTCTAACGTGGAAGGCTATGAGCAATCTGGCATCTTTATTCTATTTTCTGGTCCTGCTGTGTCCCTATAAGTTGGCGCAACAGCCAGCAATGTTGGTTGCCTGTCTGACCCCCCCCCCTTTTTTTTTAAAAAAATTGCTTCCCTGGTGAAGGTTTTGGAAATCTGCTGGATACAGTTATTTTGGAAATACACATTCTTGCCTGGTTGCTTTACCCATGACTCAAAAACTGATGCAGCAAGCCAGTACTTTGGTAAGACAGCCAATGACTTCAGAGTCTGCAAAATAGCAGAGATTTACATTTGCAAGGCTGGGTGGGACCAATCCTACCCGCCTCACTTTCTGTTCTGCAGCCACCATGGAGAACAATGTGGGAGCAAAGACTGCAAAATGTTTAGGCCCTGCCTCTCTATGGCTTTGTCTAAACCCAGACAGACTTGTCCCTGGCTGTCCAGACCAGGGATCTATTGCAGAAATTTTCCTCCTGGCTCATGTGCCATTGGATTCTTCTTGTGAGAAAAGCAAGGGAACATGGTGAGGGAGTGAAATAAAGGAAGTGTGAGGAATTGAATGAAAAATACAAGCTGTGTGCACAGAGAAAAGAGCTGAGATTAAGCTTTATATTCTTGGCAAATTTATTTCCAGGATTGCTAAAGAATACCTTTCCCTCTCCATTTGCATAATCTGCTCCCAAACATGAAGAAGCAAGATTTTGTTTGCTTTTGAGTTGAAAGACATTTGTTTTCTTCTAGTCTTTGCTGTGGAAGGGAGAAGCTGGGGTGAAGAATAACTTGTTTGGGCAATAACTAATGGTTCTGATGATTTGAAATCATACAACAACAACTCCTAAGTTTCACTGAATTTCTTAGATATTAGAATCAGACAGCACAGAGAGCTCAAGAAATGCTGCAACAACAACATAATGCACACAGCAACTCTGCTTTTCTTTTCCAAACTGAAAAATTGTTTTTTATAAGCAACGGCCCCTACAATAAGCTGTTATTTCATATATTTTTAATGTCTTTTCCCACGTAAAGGGATTTTGGCCACAAAGATGAATTAATTTTAGAATTTGTATTTAATAATATGCAGAGGATGTATAAAGCTTCTGCATAAAGCTGTCACATGCCTAAACCACAGTATGACTACACTCTCAGGAACAGGAAAAAATACCAATAAATATCGCTTATGTTTGCAATAGTGGTCTCAGAAAAAACTATACATAGCAAGACACAGTCCACATTGTGAGAAATGCCTTAGTAATTGATTCTTCAATTACTGTCAAAGTAATGTCTTCTTCAGTGAAGATCTACGTATAGATTAGGGTGCCACTTGTACAGCAGAAGCAGAGCATTTTGTAATTTTGCCATGATTTGCACTTGTCCCTTTTACAGAAGTAAACACCTGCTCACCTTGGCTCACGTGTTTGGTCTCTGCATCTCAGTACTTCACAGCACGGCCTGCTGTGCTGGGGAGACCTGGTTGACATTTAAAACACTTCCATATTACTGTTTTAATTCAGATCACAAATGCATCTTTGAAGAGAATTTCTCAATCATCCCCACTCACTCGGCTTTGGTTCATATGGATTGATTTTAAAGCACAGAGCTTCCAGACAAAGCTAAGCCAGAGCCCACTTAGCATATGATTTCAACCACTAAGAAGCATCCAGGCATGGGACTGGACAAGAGCGAGCCTGAAGGATCGCCTCCCACTCCCCAAACCCGGGTTAGCAACACACTAAATTTTCCTAGTGCTTCACACAAGTTTCTTATGCGGACTTAGCCTTTGCCTACACGTGTCTAAAGCAGGTATTTTTGTTAGCAAAATGTCTCTGAGAGGACTATTCTTAAAAATCAGTTAATTAAAATGTCAATTAAATGGTCTTTATCTATGCCAAAACTGTATTATAGGCTCTGATAAATATTGTATTTGCATGTCATTAAAATAGTAACAGCCAGACCAGAAACTTTCTCCCATAGTGAAAGTTACTTAAGGCAGCACCATGTGCCCCTGACACGACTGCTTTTGTCAGCAAAGGGAATAAGAGATTTGGAGACAAAGTTTTCCGTCACTTTTGGAAAGAAAATGCTTTCAATTGGATGGGAAAAGAAGGTAACTACTGAAAATCCTTTTTGTGCAGGTAAGTGTTTGTTTTCAGTAACTGAGAGATGAAGAGCTGAAATGAATATTGGACTATAAACTCTTACACAAACCTAGTATCGTCCCCTCAGAACAAGCCTGTTCTCAAGTTCATGTCAGTTAGCATGGCTTTTCAAAGTCAACAAACCAATTCTCACAGAAACCTGTTCACCGACAAATTGCCCAAGTTGTCCAGCACCACTGTTTGGCAAGGTCTCCAGCCAGATGGGTTTGCTAATGACTCCTGTTTAAATCAGAACCTAGTGCAACACATGACTGCCATGTTTAATTACTCTGTGAGTTAATACAGCTCAATGGATATTGTTTGGTATGTAAGAGAGTTTTTGATGAAAAGTACAAAGACAAAATAGTCTTTTCCATTTGAATGTAAGGATACCAAAGCCTTGTTTCTCTGCCCATGTATAACGTTTCCTAAGAGGCATCACTCAGAACAATTATTATAGCAGGTACAGACATTTGTTCAACTTACAAAACATTTCTTAGCCAATATGCAGTAACAATGAATACAGAATTTTACTTTTATCAGCTGAATATATTTTTAACCATTCAACAATTTTCTGTCAGTTTGCCTGGACACATTCAGCTCCTGAAACTGGGATACAGCCACGATCTTGAACTTTTTTTCCCCTGCCTTCTCAGAAGGATAACATCAAATGTGCTCATTAGCTTCATTTCACTTTGCAAAACTGTACTTTTTTGGAGTAGACTTTCAGCTCAGTACTACACACAAAGCATCTCACATATGCTAACGCTGCAATCAAATTCTCGATTGCTGGCACAAGAAGATGATGAGCTATTTGCTGCTGCAATTAATGTAAAATAATAGAAGAAAACTAGACCTCTTTTGGGAACTTTGTTTAAGATGTGGTTATGGGTAAAGCAGTTTCTCTCCTAGGTCACTAATCAATGCCTGTGAACAGTCAAACCGGCTTTTGTCCCTTGACCTGTGAAGCTACCTCCTCAGTTATAGGACAGATGGGATGCACCAAAAGATCAACTTTGGTAGCGTTGACAGTCCCTCGATGGCAACAAGGAATCGTGAGTGTTCAGGGGGGCTGGACTGTCTCCAGACTGAGATCCTAGAGCGTGGGCTGCACAGAACCCTGAGCTATGACTGGCGACAGTGGTTATAGATAAACACATGATAAAATAATTCAGGTTTAGGTTTTTAACATTTATTAAAAAAGCAGGATGTATGTTCATTTCAAATTAAACAGTTAAAAATGTTAAAGCATACAAACAAATCAATTGTGTACTAGCAGCATCCAATTGTTAGAATTTTCTAGAACTCCTCAGTACGGTCTTGGCAAGCTAAAAATATTACAACTTGCAACCAACTGACCTCACCATAGTGCAGATAAAACAAACTTTATAAAAACAACAATTTAGGTTAAATAAGCTTAAATAAAGGTGTTAAATACAAGACACTTGATCAAAGCTTCTGTACAAAGATAAACAAATTTGGCATTGTACAATTGATTGGCTGGCTCACACCGTACATGATTTCAATAGTTAAGCAGTATAACTGTTTAGCTGAACATCAACTATACAAAAGTAACTGAAGTTGGGAGTGGGCTAACCCCAGTGAGCCATTTACAAGGCATGTGTATTTTTAGAAAATCAGAACACTGTTTATATTCAGGCACCATTTGTTCCTGCAAATAAATAATCTCTAATGTATCTGCATCCACACTAGTGTTAAACACATCAGTGCTAACATTTTATAAGCACAGCTTTGTGACTATTCACTATACCTCCATTGTTATTGCTATGACAATGTGGACCGTGGAAATAAAACTACTGTACATACAAAAAAATAGAGCACCTTTTAAACATTAAAGTATATGTCTGGTTATTCTTTTTATCTTACAATACTGAAGCCCAAGCTAATGTAAATTGCTTTAACATCTTCACCAGCGCACCTGAAATGCAGGAACTAAAACCCTAAATATTCCTCTTCAGGCAAGCCCCAGCCAGAGCATCTTCTAAAAATGTCTAAAATGACACTAAGGATTTTTTACATTCATCTGCACACAAACAAATATCTGCTATTCTCTGCTTTCTTCATATGAACTTAAAGACCGATTACCACAGTTCTCTCTCCTTCTCAAGTGAATAAAGCTGGATCGAGAATGTAGCAGAAACACCTAAAATGGATTGTGAACACAGTGAAATTATTACCCCGCTAATTCAAAAAAATACAGCTGTTACATTGTTCAGATAAGTATTTTCCAGGGGCCCAATCATTAGGATTTTTTGTCTATCGTATTGAAAAACCACTCTGTAAACTTCCTCAGTTGGGCAGCTGCTGTTTGAGACTCCTCCTGAAGCCTCATGTTATCTTGTCTCAGATGCTGTACCTCTGCTTGGAGCACTGCCTTGTCCTGTTTTTCCTGGGTAACAAAGATACGAGTTGAGCAAAGGGAGTAGTTGTGATGACAGCATTTATTTTCGGTGTTAATATTTCTGTGCAAGTCATACAGCTATATTTTGTTGAGCTCCCTAATCTATTGACAACTACTAACTGTAAGTTAATTCCCCAAATATGCTCCAACTACCTCATTCATTCTGAGAAGATATTGCAAGCTAAAAAGAAAACTGGATGCTACTTTAATACAAAAATTGTAGGAGTTTGCTCCACTTGACAAAAAAAATCAAGCACTAAAAGGATAAGAAGCTTTTAGCTATTACAAATCATATGTGAGAGCCCAAGTCATAAGGAATTGATTTCAAGTATACGTTAAGGAAGAAAAATATCTAGTTTCAAAATTTTCCCTTACTTGATTATTTTCTTATCAAAAGCAGTCTCATTTCCACCAGTTCTGGCATTGTCTGCAGCTCAGAAATGAGACAGCAAATGAGACACAAAGCAAGTCGCTGTTATGTGATCAAGATACCACAAGGCACCAAGGATGACAAATCTGGAGCGTTAACCTCTTTGCAATAGCGCCCGTGTCCATATCCCTATCCTTTGCTAAATCCAAGGTACTGGGACTGGTGATGCCGTGCCTCATTCTTTCTGGGGTACGACTGTAAGTACAACAGTTATTCTGGAGTAAAGACCCATAAACTAGTTAGCCCTGGGGCAGCTTGCTCACATACCCGTTCCCACAGGGCCTTCTGCACCTCAGGGTTCTGATCAGCTGCTGGGCTCTACCATTCATTAATTACACTATCTAGTTGAAATGATGTACTTTTTTAAGCCCTTGATGAACTCTGCATAAAATATAACTATTAAAACTGGAGAGCAAGAATATCACTAATGAGCTCTTACCTTTCTCAGGTCGGTTTGTAGTTGCCGGAGGATGACTTCTAGCTGGTTTACTTTTCCAGTCAGAGTACTTGGAGCGTGTTCCCTGTAAAGTAAACCACTACCTTCACTCTGGGTTAGTTAAAAACATTTTCTCCCCCAGCTATTGCAGAGTAACACTTTTAGCCATAGCAAAGGAAACAAATCAGCGCAGGCATAGTTAGGAAAACCCAGACAAACACGGCATCAGCAAAAGACCATTACTGGAACATAAACCCGTTGCTGCAATATCTGAAATATGACACTGGCTCTCATGCAAATCAGGCAGCAATTACCACGATTTTAAGAGGGAATTTTTTAGGAATTATTTGCACATACCCTCACAGCGCAAGTCAAACTTGCTGCTAAATGGAGTACGTTTGTTAACAAGCTGCTTTCTGATAAGGACTGTACTCATCTGAAGGGAGCTGCAGTAGCAATTATTGTAAACCAAAAGAGCCATTAAGAGTTGTTTTGTCTGGTCTGCAGTCCTGTCATTTCCAGTCAAAGATAAACCCATGGCTTTATGGAGACAAATATTTTGTTTAAAGGTCAAAACGTAAGAAATATTGCCACAGGTTAATCAAATGCATGACTGAAGGAAAGACTGAGAATAGCTTCTGTTTCCTGCCTGACAAGGACTGCTGTGGGAGACAGTTTCATATACATTACAGATGAAATTGGCCTTAATGTGAATCATTTTGTATAGAAGAGAGAAGCTGAAGAGAGAAGCTTTGCAGACAAAGCTGAATCATAGAATCACCTGCTTCATGCAAGTGCACATCTCTGACACATTTGCCGATGCTACAAGTGGAACTCCTGTAACAGCCTTTCGCAGTCCTTACTGATCACTAGGCTGGGGGAAGGTGTGGACTTAGAAGTCATTACAATAAATGTGCTTTACCATCTAAGTAAGTTAATTTGTGTAAAATTGATTCAAATTAAAATGTGATAGTCTAACAAGCCAGACGATTTTTCCCGCCATTTCCTGTTCTTCCATTCCTGCAGCCAAAGAGCAAAACTACTCAAAGATGTGTTTTTTCTCTTAAAGCACACTACGCGGAAGGTTATACTAGCAAATCTGTGTTTTAACAAGTATACTTGTTATAAGTCACAGCAGAGAAGACAGGGGAAAAGAAAACAACAAAAAACAGAAAAAAAAAGAGAATAATCTCTCCCAGAGCACTGGGATGAATTTGAAGAATTGGACACTTTGGCATAAAAGTTTCCTGCAGTCCCCAATTACAGGTTCTCTTGAGTAATCTACCTGTGTATAAATGAAAAATCATGGATTTGTCAGTAGCAAATAGTGAGTAGCAAAAGATAGGTAGGAACACCCGTTCCAAGGCCTGAGAAATTTGCTGCAGATCAGGTTATTGCATACTACAGAGTTGAGCTCCTGTTATTGGTTCTATTAAAATGAAAATAGAAATAAGTATAAAAAATTATTACTGTATAGGAGGAACACAGTGAAAAATATGCTTAGCCGAAAATCTGCATCTAACCGTATTCTGCATTAGAGGCCTATGCTAGTGTGAGAGCTTTCTCTGACTATACTAGAAATTTTCTAGATAGAACTGCTCAGAGTTTGATTCCAAGGAAAAACATTTTTCAAAATTAAGTAAAGACTTGATCAGTCAAGGTAACAGGTCCACCATCAAACAGCACTGAAAAATGCATACAGGCAATTTGACATGCAACATTATGAGAAAATATTTTCTTAAAATATTTTTCTTTAATTTTGACGTACCCAGTAGCCTCAAGGAAATCTTTTCCATCTGTGGGACTCTCATCCAAAGGTAACTCTTGTGTTCCTTCCAAGCCCTGAGCTTGCTGCATATCATTCAAGGTGCAAAAAGATGCTACTCTCTGATCTGTAAAAAAGTAATGTAAGGGTATGTTTTAAAGCTGAACATACATAAAAAATAAAAGTCTATATTACAGCCATTATCCTGGTTCAGTTAGAGAAATGGATGTAGGCTTCTACATCACAGCTTTGAAGATAATCAGCAGATGTAAAATATATCCCAACTAGTTGGCTTCCCCACATCTGCATCCAAAGGCAACCCCAAAGCAATTTTTTTTGTGTCTGTCAGCAGTGTAAGACAGATTTGCTTGGACCAGTTAATGCTGATAATAACAGTAAATTGGTCTTGATGAAATCTGCAGTAAACCATTTGAGAATTCGGGGCCGTAACCAATGACAATAATAATTCAGCAAAAAAGGTTTGCATTTTCCATGGACTTAAAGCCATCAGGTCCCTCAGAAATCCGCACTGTTCATTTCTTACTATTTTACTGTCTCAAGCATTTGCAGAACCTAATGGTAATCTGCATACTTGATAAACAATAAATTCACACTATTTTTATCAATTGAGTTTTTGTGAGAGATATATATTACTAAGGCACGCTATTATCTACATTGGATTCCACCAGAACATAATCTAACAAGCACAGATGTAATTACCTATGGATATACAGTGTGGTTGCCAAAATATATCAGTCACCACATAATAGAAGTATGCCATGCAGATCATCATTGCACAGAACAGGAGTAAATGATGCATTCATTAGGATTTAATTTGTCTTCTTTAAAAAAAAATAATCCATATTCTGTGGAGATTGATTTAACTTATTTCTGTCAAACAAAATCCATGTCTGTAGGCTTGTAGAAATTCTGGTGACAACATGCCTGCCTTGCCCTTTCTCCCCTTGCTCTGCCACCCCACAGGCCCGAAGCTTGCATCATCATGCAAACGTGCAAACACAGGAAATATTAAAGAAAGTTTACAAAAGGCAAAAGTCATCAATCCCAGACCATCACCTAGAAACGGCGTGTGATGACAGAACGGCCCAAATTCTTCATCTGAGTCAAAACCTGGAATAAGATTTAGAATGTTCCTATAAACAAGACAGTCCATCTCCACTGGAGCAGCTGTGGCCCTCACGTATGGCGCACACAGCGGAATACTCCCCAAGCAAGCCATGCTGGCTCTCATTCTCGGCCTTGCAATTGCCATTTTTACACACCACCGACATTACAGTAAAGCAGGAGGTGTCATGCCCCGTGTCTCTATTGGTAATATCCAGTATTGCGACACAGCCTGTCCATAAAAAGACAGCCCTCCAGACTCGAAGCACCCAAACAGTGAATACAGGCCAGGTCATTTTAACTAGGAAGGAAATTTTGGTTTAAAAGTTCTACCAAACAAAAATAGGAAATTGCCAAAGAGCTCTTTAAAGGGATTTTTTTAAATGAATAGTTTTAAGGAATTTTAAGCAGATTGACAATTCATTCTATAATATAATGAAGAAAAGTGGCATGTCATTTTTTGTCCAATTTTGAAGACCACACCTGATTTCCCCTGCTTTTATCCTTCTTTCTGACTAGTGATGGATCTCAACAAATATGAGCACGGCTTTTTCATATGTGCTGACAATAAGGTAAGAACATAATTTTAAACATATAATCAAGGACATCATTTACAGATTTGAAACTTATAAAGTTGAATACATTTAACTAGTACAGATAAACTAAAACTAGTTTCCCAGATCAAACAGTTATGTTGGCCAGAAACAAGACTGTGGAAACAACCAGTTTGAAGTACATATCTAACTATTGATTTCACCTTTATACTGGTGACATTACCCCTGGATAGAAGAAAACACAGCCAGAAACAAATGTTATGCTGTTGAAATTTTTTTCTATAGCCAACGATATGTGACATGTGACGTTGTCTCTCAGAGGCAATTCTATTATATTATAAAAAAATCTGCGTTTTTTTCCCTCTGCCGAGCAAGCTCAATTAAAGAGACTGGCCGCTTGTCTGGTGTATTTTGTCAGTTTGATCTCCCCAGCAGCATTTGAAAGCATCTTTTTCTTGACGGATAAAAGCAGGTGCAAAACCAGGTACATGCAGCTCTTAATGAAATCATGGGATGCCATTTTTAAACACAATATTTTAAAGTATTTTCATATTATTTCAACACACTACAAAAATATGAAAACATGGGTGCTTGCAGTGAAGTATAATGTGTGGATTAACTCTTTCCTCCTCGTGTAATCCCTAATGAATTTCGACACCACATAATTTAAAAATAATATTAACACTTAGAGTAGGAAATTCATTGTCAAACCTCTTCTGTTTTCCTAGTATAACTTAAACATATTTGTCCAATATTCGTATCTTTATAAAATATGAAACCATATTCTCACATTCATCAGGTGAGGAATAAAGTCACTCCATGGCCACTAATAACCAGAAGTCTCCCATCATATAACACACTATGTAAATTCCTGCGTTGCTCTACAAAGAGTAGTGCCTTAGTTTTCAAAAGCCAGGTTAGTCACAAAATCATTCTCTGAACAAGTTAGTAACACAATAAATCTCTGTAATAACTAGTACACCAACAAGATCCTGGACTAGCAAAATATTTTCCCTTTGAATACTTCTCAAGCACTTTGAGAGACACATTTTTATTTGCAGCAACTCTATCTCCCTGTAAGTATTCACGTTTAGCAATAGTTTCACCAATTTAACATTTAAATCAGAACTGGTTTTAAACCTGAATTGTGGTGAAGGTTGAACTTGTGCGTCAAAGAGCAAAATCTTCCTAATGGTTTTTGTTTTATCTGTTCTTAACAGAATTGCCTTGACTCTGTATTCATGAACATGAAATCAAAGCTACCTTCACCGACAGTTAATTTTTTGAAAGAAAAATCAGATGTTTCTGACTATGATGCTGTAGACATAAGTTCTGCTTCCTCCAAACTACGGAGACACCTCCACTTCAAGTGATATGTGGATACTAGAGAGAAGAAAATACATGTAAATCTCGAGAGCTCTTATTTTTATCAGGGAGATCCTTGCCAAACCCCTCATAGGACCCATGCATAGAAAATTATTTGCAGAACTATATTGGTGCTTATATCAAAAGTTTAAGCAACAGTTGACTTAGCAAGACCAAAGATGAGACAAAATTCATGCCTCACTTTAAAAATAATAGAATTGTACAGTTGTACCACTGAGAATTTGAATCAGGATTTTCATAGGCCACTAAAAGAGGTCAGAAAAAACTCCAGACAATTTTGATGTACTGAAGAGTAGAAAAGGCTAAAGTGAGTATAGTGAAGCTCCTCTCTCGTTATTAAGGCAAAGTCTACCCACAAACATACACAGACATATGCACTGAAGCAAAAAGTGTTACACATGCATGCACTAGAAATGACCAAATGTTAACTAAATATTTTCATTTTTTCTTTTTCTAGCAGTTTAACATAATAATTTGGTTAAAATAATTATCTCTTATGCTGAATGCTTCGCTTCTTTCTCATTATGTTATGTGTAGCATTACTTGCATTAAGCTATAAAGATTTTAAATGGAAGTATTAAAATAATATTAATTATAGTAGCACAGATGTTTCTGCAAAGATAAATTGGCATTAAGAAACACTGCATTCTGATTGGCACTAGTAGACATTCATAAAAATAACCCGGAAAAAAATCAGAAGTTGAAACCACCTATTTTAATGAACTAAATCAAAGACATCAGAGGGATTTTCTTAGGCTGTTAATTCCCACAATATCATTTACCACACACTAAACAGCTTTTTTTTAAGCACAATAAACCTAGTATGAAGTAGCACAAATAATACAAAGTTCTATTCATAACAATAATCAATATCTATGTTTGTGTCCATTTTCTTCTGTACTGACAGCAACAGATATGGACACCCAGAAAGGCTTCTCCTTTTGTTCCCCAAAACATTGAAAAGATCCAAAATTAGCCATCAGCAACATAATGCGTATGTTGAAAGCCAGTCCTTCTTCCCTAACTTGGAGATCTATTGGAAAGATAATACAAAAAGAGAATTAAAAAATACATTCTCTCCTTTTCCCTTATTCTTTTCTGAGATTTCTTTTTTTCCTTTTTCTAATTCAGCTTTCCAATGTATTCTATAAATCCCCATGTCTTTATTTTTAATGAGTTCAACATGCTTTCTTTCTTCTGCTTCTTTAACTTCTCCTTTTTAATCCCAACTGCCTTCCCTAAACCTCGACTTCTCTTTTGCTGTACAGTCGCATCCAGTTCTACCTATTTTTTATTGTTTGCTTCAGGGATGGATACAAAAATATTACAACAGCGTAATTCTAGCATGTCAGCTGCACCCTGGTTACTGTCTTTCTGCAGCTCCTGCCAAAATAAGAGAAGGGAAATGGAAGTAGTCTATCCAGATCTGAAAGAAACGGAAGAATATCCCTTGCTACCGATGACATGCATGCTAAAGATGATCTCTGAATAAATATCAGAGTCAAAACTATGCACTGCCTTCCTTTGCAGGACAAAGACTTAAAATAACGTTGCACTGTGCTCCAGCTTATGGACATTGACCCTCAACAGACACAGCTCAAGCAAAACCCCTTACTGATGCAGCTTCTGGAGCCTGTGGAGTTCAGGCCTGCACAGCTCTCCAGTGTGCTGTGAAGACCTGTCTTAGGAATAACAGAGGATTTTCAGGAAAAGTTTGAAATTATTATTCAGCTTCCTGCAAAAGTTCTGGCCAAGCAAAAGCAGTCAAAATTAAAACCTCACAAAGTGAAAAGCATTATCATCATACTTTCAATTAAAAAAAAAAAGTAATGACTTAGTCCACCCTCATGGACCACAGTTTAAAAACTGCTGTTCTACATAGGATCAAGGCTTCAGTTGGATAAAAGCCAATGCTAATTAATAAACAACATAGTTAGCTGTTCATTTGGGCAGGGGGGGAAGCTAAAAATGAGACCACTGTTCTTGTTACACCCATGTAACCCCCACTAAGCTCTGAGTACAGATGATTGTATCAAAAATCTTGCTACTATATTTAATTCTTAATCCAATTAATGCCAACATTATATGCACCTAAAAAGGCTGTATTTAACCAAGATACAATTACATTTTCAGACAGACAGATGAAGGATTGTGAGGCCCACATTATGGATGTTGAACTGATCAACATATGTAAGTTGTCAATATACAATCTAGAGAGATCACAGGGGAAAAACCCTGACCTTGGAATCAGATGGGTAATTCTAATAAACCAATATTAAGAAATGACCTGGCACAAATAAAAACCTAAAATTAAGTCTTGTATCTAGGTTCTAGAACAGAACACAACTTTGAAATACCAGGTTGGCAAAGACAAACTAGAAAACAACTCTAACACCAATTTCTTAAAACAGGATTAAACAAGTCCTATCCATTTTGCGATCTTTTTTATTGAAGGATTTCGGGGGTGGGGTGGGTGTTGTTTGTTTTGGGGTTTTTTGAGATGGTCCTATATAAAATGTGATCACATTTCCACACAGTTTAATAAAAACTTCAAAGCAGTTTTATACTCGGAAGTGGACAAGCTTTAGGATCATCCACTCTCTTTTTCACATTGATAGAATGCAGAACAGTAGTTCCAAGCTATCTTTAAATAGTAAGGTGAAGCAGCTCTTAAGTCAACATTAAAATACATAAGTATATATATAAAGTAGTGCTTACACTGGTCAAGGACTTCACAGCTTCCCATGCTCTACCAGGTACACTAGAAGCTGGGAGGGGGCACAGCCAGAACAGCTGACCCCAACTGGCCAAAGGGCTCTTTCAGACCATATGATGTCATGCTCAGTATATAAATTGGGGGAAGAAGGAGGGGACGTTCAGAGTGACGGTGTTTGTCTTCCCAAGTCACCGTTACACGTGATGGAGCCCTGCTTTCCTGGGGATGGCTGAGCACCTGTCTGCCCATGGGAAGCAGGGAATGAATTCCTTGTTCTGCTTTGCTTGTTTGTGCAGCTTTTGCTTTCCCTGTTAAACTGTCTTCATGTCAACCCATGAGTTTTCTCACTTTTACTTTTCCAATTCTCTCCCCCATCCCACTGATGGGGGAGTAAGCGAGCGGCTGCGTGTTGCTTAGTTGTTGGCCAGGGTTAAAATCAGAACAACATTCCCTCCTAGTGATTTTTTTTATGATGTGCCCATCAGTTATTCTTTTTAAAATTACTTTCAGATTGCAAGACATAGGATAGAGAGATGAACAAGGGCTTAAAAATTCCATTCCTTGTAAACATTTCAAATTGCAGTACTATGAATTTAGTCAAAACATTTTATGAATCATCTGACATATACACAGATGTCTCCATTGCAGAGTCCTAAGCAGAAGAGGATAAGATTCCTTCATACAAAACTAGATTATTATTTACTACTCAAATTCTTACGATTAAAAAAAACAAACAATAAAAACTTTCTACCTTGCAACTCAGACCACCAGTTCTTCAGTGTTACCTACAGATATATCTAAGATTTTTGCAATTAAAACCCAACAAGTAAATACTTCTCCTCCCTAGGACAGGGCACTGTGGATAGCTACGTTGTTTTACCTCTCTCTCTCAAATTCAAATTGTAATTACACTCACATAACACTCACCAAAGTGAAAGTATTGTCATCACAATTTTAAGTAAGCAAAAATAATGAAAATCTATTAAAGTTTTCAAAGAAAGCTAAAAAAACAGGAGCATAACCAGTACAGTATGACCTTTTAGTCAGCTGAACTCAAAATTTTTACTGGCATTTAAAAATATTCTTCAAGTACCAAGTTACAGAGTTAGTAATTTACTGATCCAAATCTATTTTCTGTTGTTTATAATGTCAATAACAAATAGCAGGACGTTCCCCGTGCAATCTAACACAGAAATGCATGGGAACAGTTGTCAGATCCTCAGCGCCACAGCACTTCCTGCCAGCTGCAACAGGCGTGTTTGAGTAGTGCTGAGGAGTAACGAATGCACACACAGTTATGCAATTTAAGAAACAATACAGTACCTTAGATTGCTAATCACCACTGTTGGCTTGGGGTTTTAACAATGCCACTTAAATTAGTATTGTAAGTAGTTCTGAAGGGCTTGCAATCAAATTGAAATTTAATCACTTCAATACTTAGGGAAGGAATCAGGTACCAGAAAACTGATTCCCATTGTTGCTTTTAGTTAAAAAAAACCCAGAAGAACATCTCATCGCTAACTTCACAACCAATTCTCCTCATAAAGTTAAGACCTGTATCTTATATAATGATGACTGTGGTAATGTCATCCTTATTCACAGATACCTCTGACTTCCCATACATTCACTACTGAGAATAACACCAGTTAAAAAATGTTGGATATTTTAGGACAGCACAGTGACCTAACCAAAACACCCCTCAGAAACAACAAACCAACATCCACCTTTCTGTGTTAATGAAATATGTGTAGGTTTAGCTCTCAGAGAGGAGAATGAGGTTTTTTCTTAGTTAACCTGGTCTTACAATTTAATAATGCAAACCTGGTTTATATCCTGCATCTCAGGTTCAGCTAGTGGACAATATAACATGCATTTTTGCTGTTTTTCAAGGGCTTATAAAAACTGAGAGGCACTGCAACATCATTTGACTACACAAGTACAAGTTTATAAGCACAACACAATAAACTCAGGGAAGTGTTACTCCCTGTTTCATTTTAAACATCTAACTTAAATGCTTTGAATCTCTCCTTCGAAGCACCTCATCTTTGCAATTGATTACAGAAGGAACTTAGGCCCCTAAGTGGATGAATTGTATCTAAGATAGATAATGAAAGTATCATGAATACCCCAAATTTTCAGTGACAATCTTCCACAATGAGAAGTGATACTGCCAAGAGAACTAAAGGGCTACAGAGGCAAACACTGAATTTTTGTAATTCGAAACGTGGCTATACAATATATATTTAAAAAAAAAAAAAAGTTCGTGTACTGAACATTGATCTTGATTCAAATTTTCCTGTTACCTTCAAACGCTCGTGCAGCATCTACCAGGTGGGACCAGTCTAGCCCTGTGGCAGTGTCTGGCAGGGGCATCAGGCCAGGATCATTGAATTTGGCTTTATCAGATAAGGACCCATCTGAGAACCAGAATTCATCTAAACAATAAACACAATAATTAGTCCTCCTATAACAATGATGTACAATTAATTTTGAAGCTATTATAATGAACTGTAAAAAATGTGTAAGCAAAGAGTGCTTATCTTCATTTCTTGTTTCTGTCTTTTCCTGTTCAATACTCAGTATGGGTGGAACAATTTTTAAACTTCAGCAGAATAAGATGGGAAGGGTTTCTAAAGGTTTTTTTGTGCCACTTTGCACATAATGTGTTCTTCACGTTTTCACATGAATGCTGTGTGAGTAGGCAGCATCCGTTCTTAAAGCATACCATATTAAACCTGAGCACTGAGCAGAAAAGTTGCTGGATACGCAAAGTTATATTCTTAAGAAGGCTGCAAAACAAGATATGAGATACTTACATGCAGAGTTTTATTCTGAAAGTTAAGTATTTCCGCTCCAGAAGCAATTTAAAAAATATCACCTGCTTTTCTTTTAATACATTTGTAAATTCTAGCCCATATCCAAAACTCACTTTCACATTGAAAATACTACCCTATTAGTTTCATATTTATAGCTGTATATCTGAGGACGTAAGACTTGTGTGCCGATCTCTAAGCTCCAGAGTAAGCTGTATACTGAAGCTAGCTTGTATATTAATTAAAATGTATACGCTATAAAGTTAGTTCAAACACAGCTTTCAGTTATGCAGTCTTTTAGAAAGGTACCAGGAACACACACCTCAGTAGAGGAGATGCCAATTTTCATAATTGTCTTATAGTTTTACATTTTCCTATCTACCTATAGCAATCTTCACTCTGATCAATGTGAACACATTAAAATGAATACTGCTGAACAGGTACACAGAGGTTCTTAAAACTGAACATAAACCAAATACATTCTTTATAATCACATTTCTTCTTAACATAAAGCTAGTGATATAATATTGTACTTTTATTACATACTATAGCCAGGAAAAAAGAAATTTTGCTTTAGATGTATCTACTTCTGTTAAATAAAAAGTTCAAAATAATAATTTTTCCTCAAATATTAAAGAAGGAAATTTCCATCTAGTTACTCCAGTGATTCAGACTATAATGTTTATGAGGAAATTTTTTTCCAGAAGAACAGCAAATGCAAAAATCAATTAAGGAAAAAATGCACGCATACAAGTAGAAGATATATTATTGTTTAGGAAAATGGCATGTTGTCATTGTCCTGATAGCAATGAAAAAGAATACCAACGTCCATTTGCATTAAAGATTTCTGACCTAAAAATTCAAAAGCAGTGGCCTGTTACAGAACATTCTAGTGCATGGAGCAATGATTAGAGTGTATCATATTCTTTGCAGAAAGCTCATTTAAAAAAAAAAAATAAATAAACTCAGGAACAGGAAAGTGAAGAATTAGGAGTCCCACAAAGCAAAAACAATGCAGAAGAGGTAGAAAGCCTGTTTACTGTGGATTTAGCTTGTTCTACAACTTACATGAAAGATGCGGCATTGTTATCTTATAACTGGCAGTGGCTAGACAAACCTCTGTAGAAATACCTTTCTCAATACCCACTCTGAGTGTGCATAAATGGATGTTACATGAAATGGAAAATGTAATATACAAATATAGTCTATCAATACTTCCGTACTAAGATTTTATTTTCAGTTCCTGATAAACGTACATAAAATCTTACCTTAAGGCTACTTTGGGGTGCAAATACATTGGAAGCTCAACCTCGGAGCAGTCTCTGAACTTTTGGATATGAGGTGGGAATTGTAAGAACCTTATTTACGCAAGTACAAAAGTTTTATACACCCCTGTTGTGGAAAATAGGCAGAATGCCTCATTTGAAAGGCTGGCAAGCCAGCTTTTGGTTCTAGACCAGCAGGCAGGCCCTAAGGGACAGCCCTTGCTTTTGTGTGATCAGCCTACAGAGGCTGATTGAGAAACCTGTCAGGAAGATGCCTGTTCCCAGTGAGATTCTGCTGGCTTTCCAAATTAAAGCGTAGGAGTGAGTAGTATTCACCAGTAGTCATCCTTCATTATGCATTGTCTTTGTGAGAAGCTCAGTTCACCTGAGGGTGGATCCTATTCTGTCCTGCATAAGACCTGACAGAGCAACTCAACTGCAGAAAGCCTGCCAGAGCAGAGATTTGAATATTGATAGCTCTGAAAATGCAACTGCTCATGCTGATGGCTGAAATTATAAGCAGAATAACTGAACAGGCATGAGTATGCCAGCACAGAATAATTCGTTTTCAAGATATAAATTATGTGTTCATGTGCAATGGGGGCAGGGGGAAAGGGGAAATAAAAGAAAAAAAAAAGCAAAAAAGAAAGAGGAACTCTAATGATGTAGGTCTCTCTGTGCTTTTGAATTTCAGAGAATATTGTTTGTATTTCAGGAGTGCTCTGGGTGAGATGAATTATTTCTAGCCTCCTGTATTTGCATTTCCTCCCTGCTCCTCTTACCTCGCTGTTACCTCCACTTTTTCTCTGTATGACTGCCACATTAAGCAACTGCAGGCTGCTGGTGGTCTTCCTCTTTGATTTGTGCAAAGGTAGCAAGTTATGCTTGAGCGTGCTCACCTCTGCGTGTCCAGGAGGACATGCCTAATCTCATAGGGCTGCTATCTTCATTGCCCACAAGAGTGATTTTGAAGCAACACAGACTTACCCCTTATTTTCTTTGAGGAAACAATGTGTTATGTTTCAGTTTTAAAGATTATTTTATTTGCTGTACTCCTTTTGGCACAAAATAATTCATTTTGTGGTTTCTGGTTCTTCCAATCATGTCACTCTCTTCCTACACTTAGGAATTTTCTTTCTTTTTATTATTGATACATAAAAGTATAAAGCATTTTGAAGAGTCCTTATTTTCACCAAAATTGTATGGTCAGTTCAGTTTCCAACAGAGCTCCTCAAATTGACTGTCATCGGTCCCACATACCTCTGTATTCACCGAGTAACTAGTTATACAGAAAGAAGAAAGATTCACCTGACTTAACCTTTTCTACTTTCAAGACAAGTATCCTGCTTCAGTTGGAACTGCTACTTTTATGTAGAAACTGTAGATCATGAAAAAAATATCTGCTCAGTACTCCTCACTTACTGTGCTCACACTCGACATGTCATTTAACAAGGAGATAATCTCAAAAGATGCTGCAGCCGAAGGAACATGTCAAATCATAGGCAGACATAAATCCCACTGCCCTGTTTTTCTTTCCTGCAACCACCGATTATACCTCTGTGGTCCTCTTAAACAACAGCTTCTGCCTGCCAAACCCTTCCCTTCTTCAGTATTACCTAGGGTTGCCCGAAGTCTCCCTTCAAAGATGCCAGCCTGTTAGTAGACTTTCTCGTGGACATATGCTCATGTTACTGTTAGAATAGCAGAAACGTGCTCCCAGTAACTACTGTTCCCTTCCCTTTTGTTATTGAAAATCATGTCATGTTCTGGTATGGTGGATTATTCACTGTGTGAGAGTCTGTACCAGACAACAAACATACTCCTTTGGTTGCGTAAAGTATTTAATCAACAACCTTTATTTGCTTACTGAAAAACTGATTTCCAAATTGTTCATGTTGTACATCATCAGTACACAGTGATGTTCTTCCATTTTAATACTGCTTCTTATCAATGAGGCTAGTTTTAGATTGAAGCTAACACTGGTAGTAAGCCAATTTTAAGATAGACTTCCATCTAACAACATCATTGCAGATATATCAGCTGCACTTCTGGCAGCCTTTTCCCTATGGCATGTATAATCTGAGAATTTTCAGAATTTGTTAGCCTGCCACTGCAAAATATTCCCTTCCTTATGACTCTCTTCACTGCAAGTATCCTGCACCTTGCTCCTTTCATGGCAGCACCGGAATGCCGTGCCAATGTATCACTTAGGGCACCTTTCTTTGGCCTTTCTTTTTGTGCTTCATAATAGGAGTGGGCCATGGCGCCTGCAGTGTCAGTCAGACTGCCTCCATCTGTCTTCCGGGGTTTCTGACTTGCGTTAGTACACTAGTTCTGTATCAGTGGTTCTCATTGTTTTCATTCTTTCCTTGCTAGTTCAGCTGCCATGAATTTGCGAGACAGGGATAGATTTGTACTTGCAACCATGTATGGCATGCTAGAACCACTCAACGTGAACAGCACTGTCTCAGTTAGGGAATCTTTAATGTCCCTAAGGTAAAATTCCGGAGTTCTGAGCTACATGAGTTCTGCTTTATGGTTTAAGTTAAAAATAAGATAAAATGAAATAAATCTTTCTACATTTGTGTACTGTGTGCAAGCAACAGCATTCAACTGTCAGAGCTTGCATTTCAGACTTTACTGAAAGAAACTCCTCTTTCTCTTCACTTTCCCCAGTGATACAACAATGAAAAAAATCCTATAGCTTCATTTTCTGATCTCCTTCCCACAGTCAACACTGCACACAGTTGAAGTTTCTGTTTCTGTATTTGCATAGTTGTTCTGTCTGATAATTCTGATTTCCCAGTAAACTGAAACCCTTCGGGTTGCCTATAATGCTTTGGTTTTGGTGCTGCCTTGCTTACCTATTAATCACCCCCTTTCCCTTGCTAGAGGGATCTCACGAGACTTGGTGCTGCCACAATGTTTCACGTACCACATGCTGGGTAATAACATGCAAGAACATGTCTTTCTAAAATGAATTCCAGCCAAAACCACACTATTTCCACTGATTTCTGTAAACAGTAAATATCAGGAAAATTAATATGTTTTAAGATCACAAACGTACGTATTTTACAAAAGACATTACTATGACAGTTAAGAATCCTGATATCTGAAACTACAACCTCAAGCTAAAATTATAAAAAAAAAGAAAACTCTCACATCACCGCTGCTGTAGAATGTAAATACCTGCTATCCACTGGTTACAAAACCCTTCCTAACAAGAGCCCAAGTTAGCTTCTTATCTGGACATACCAACTAAGGTTATTTTGAAAACAAAGGTGGGCAAGTCACAATGTGTTTGTTTTCAGAGTGTAATTACAGATAAACAATTAAATCTTCCTTGAAACAGCCATCATAAAAGATCCTATATTGCTGGCATTGAAAGGCACTTTTATAATACAAAACCAGAAGCAGAAAATAGAGGTTGTATATGAAAATACATGAACTACCTTGGATATCAAGAGTCAGCTTCATTTTGACTGACAGGATACTAGTTTCATGTTTTTTCCCCAGCTGTGTGTATAAATAACTTTTTGTATCTAAGAAGCAGCAAGAATGGAAAATAAGGCGTTTAAGGCAGAACTAATACACAAAACACTAAAATTTCACTGCTGGAGGAGCAGTACACAGCTTGAGTGTACACCATTAATTGCCTTGTGTCAACCTCCAAAATAAAAGCATGTTGAAAGTTTGATCCCGTTGCACATTTACCTTTACAAGAAATGGTTCTAAAAACACAGGCCTAACATAGTAAAAGAAAAAAAATACAGTCAAGATGCCTGATTATATACATAGCTCCTTCATAGACTACAAAGTCTACTGAATCAGTCTCAAATGCAACAGAATGGGTTTTCATTCTCTATCAGTAAAAACAAAGGATCTTTTAAGATTGAATATATAGTAAAGAGTTTCAACCTGATAGAAGAATATTTTTAGAATGGCCAAAGGTACACCCAGCATGCGTTCCCATCTGAAGCAGGAATTTAGCATTTGTTTGCAATACCAGTTTAAAATTAACCAGTGGTTAGTGACTAAACCTCAGTCTCATAGCTGAGGCCACTATAACTAGGGAAGTGTTTTGTCGATAAGGATTACTTGGGAAAGTTAGCAAGTGACTGCTAGTTCCTGAAGGATGAATGACAGAGCCCTTTTTATTACTACTTCTTTTAAGTCATCTGTCTGCATTCTCTCTGGACATACACCTACAAAAGTCCTTAATACTTCCAAAAAATCCACCCACGGCTTCTTAACTATGGACTTCAGAGTCCACAATTGCTCTACTATTTTTTTAAATTGCGGTCAGCAGCTGTGATGCAATATTAAAGTAGCTAATTAACAATGCCTTTTTTTTTTTTTTTTTTTCTAGATTTGGTGTCCCCTATAGGTTAGCCTAAAATAATTGAGAAGGGAAGAGTTTTAGCATTTTTTAAAAAGCAATTCATTCTTATTAAATAGATAAATATGGATATGTAGCCTAAATATATGTATCTGGCTGTGCAGATTTGGGCTGTGGTATGTAAATATACATATTTTTCACAATTTCTTTTTTTTTTTTAAATTTTCATAATTTTCATTCAATTTTTTTTCCTCAAAATTCCTACAAACTTTCTAATTCATCATTCCATATTGGAATCTTTGCAAGATAAGCATAATAAAGATCTTGCTTATGAAGACCTCAGGAGTAAAGACAACCCTTCATAAAATAGTTTTAAGTTAGCACCCCAGACTACTCTTTTCCTGCCATTAAAAATGATGTGTTATTTGGAAAGGTTTTACTAACATCTTAAAAAAAAGTATCAGCAAATTCAGTTTTGAAATTGGAGATGACAAAAACAACTCTTGCACATTTCCTTTTAAGATGTTACCAAAACGATCATCTAAGTAGAAGCTGTCCCATTTAGTTATTGTTTTGAATAATTCATGAATATTTCAGTAATTTGAATGCACACAAAAAATAAACAAATAAAAAATATTGAAATAAAGCAGGCCAGCTTGGCTTAATTAGGTCACCACTGGAAAATAAAATGATAACAAGAAATATATTCAGATGAATATTTGTTGCCTATCATTAGGTCTCATGAAAATTTTTTGGTAAGTGAATGCTATCTCCAAACATGATAAATCTGAATTGATCACAAAGGCAAGCATAAGCATGTACTGCTGACCGAATAGGCTTTTACTAGGATATCCAGAATCCAGATATTTGACATTTCACAATTTCACCTTAAAAGTAAAATCTAACTTAATATTTGGTAATTTGTTTGAGTTTATTACAAATATTCCAAACTCAGCAATGACAGCAACAATCACTTACTTCTCAGATTTCCCATTCCGGGAGTCAGGCTCATTCTGGGAGGCAACGTGCTGTGGTAGGGTGGAGTAGTGCTGAATAAGATGTCATTTGGCAAGGCCTGGTCTAGCATTGAACTTCGAGAGCTAGCATATGAAGATCCTCTTCGATTGCTACATATACTCTCATCAGATAGGGTACGGTAAAGTGTCCTCCGTGGAGAAAGGTTTCCATAAAATGAAAACTAAACATCAAAATATGAAGATATAAGAACGTGTATTACTGGTTAAAATAATTCACACAATCGTATCCCATCATCAGTTCTTGGGAGTATTTTTCTGGGCAGGCATTCTGGAATTCTTGAGCTAATACAGAAGATCAGAGATTTGTTCCACCGTATCAGATCTACTGGGGCCTCAAAAAAGTTACTGAACTGGATTTTCATACTTCCTCTTGATATTTTGGAACATATCACCATGAATTTATCAGATACTGTATAGTTTTATTAATTCTGAAGTGTTAAATGAAACCTCCATAGCCTCATGACAGCAATGTTTTCCAGAAATATATATAAAGTTACTAACTCTGGCAACATTTATTCAAGACTATACATAGAACTGTTTGATTTTAATTTGAAATGACTACCCTTTAATGTTAAACATTCTGAATTGATATATGGTGCAATATAATTCATTGGATGATAAAAGTGACTTCAGACACTGCATCTCTCCAGATATCATGAAACAGGCTTAGAAAAGAGGATAATAGAGTTCAGCAAAAACTGTTTATGCATTTCAAAAAGTTACTTAAACCCCCACCCAAATATCTACAGTAAAACAAGATGTTATTGTATTGTAAAGCTGGGCCATTCCACTTCATAAGTCATTCTTCAGTCCTGCAAATCCAGTTATTCTTCACATCTACAAATGTCAGCTAATAATTTTAACTGTCAGTTAATTACTTTGACTGGTTTGTCCTGCATATAACAATTTAATGTCCTGCCCCATTTTCTTTGTAATTAATTATGAGTTGCACACTCCTTATGCAGAATGTATGCTTAAGAGCAGTAGCTTTTTAAACCAGTGAATAAAGCATAGAACTAACGATATCTACATTGTTATATTTCTGATAAAACTTGCTCACTGATGGATACTTCTAAAAGGCATATACAGAAGCACTCAATCATGCCAAAGGCACGTCTTTACAAAATACTTAAATATACTTCACAGCACTGGCTCAGGAAAGCATCTAACTTGATGACCACACAGAACATGCTCAATCGTTGGAATGCTTAACTGTGTCCCAGAGAAAACTGAGGGAGATATTCATATTGTAACCTACGAAAGCACCAAAATAATACATTGGTTCTAGAGATTTGCCCGAAACAGATATGGACCATGGTAATAAACATCATCCAAAACCTTATAACAACACATACGTAAAATGATCACAACAATAGACATAAGCAGCATCCCTAAATGAATGGATAGAGGACATCCTTCACTGAGCAGTGGTTAAAGAACATCGAAAGACATTGAGCCTAATTAGGGACCACATTGGGCAAAGGACTAAAAGCCTTCACCCTCTGAACTGAACAGTCTCCGATCCTCTTTCCTGCACTTAAGATTGCCAGCAAGCAACCTGCTGCAATTCTTGGCTGCTTCCTCAACCTTATACTGCATCTTCTATATATAAATGCTGTTCACTAGCTATCCAAACATGTGAATGTTAATGTTGGAGCTTTACAGACTTTCCTTTCAGGGTGCGACAAAAACTAAATATTACCTAGAGGGCTCATTATTCTCTGATCTATGAAGAAGGTAAACCCAAATCAAACAAAAAATGTGATTTGATTCTGTAGAATCTTACATGTTCAGAAAATTCCTTTCTGGCTTCGCTGTCAAAGACAACTGACTCAACTTACTAAGTTACCACTATGAAGGCACAATCAAAGCCTGGATGCTGTTGGGTCCTATGGCTGGGGAGCTCCTCCGAGACAGGGCCTACAGTCTCTCTCATTTAGTGAGCTTTTGTTTGGATGTCTTGGGAAGGGAAGGGGACAGCAGTAATTAATCTCAGGATGGCCACACCTCCTCGACTCCTTGTTGTTTCTTATTTAGGTAGCCAGAAATATTGGCAACTCTTGAAATTGTCACAGAAAACCAATTACTGTATCAATCATAAATCATAAAAACCTCTAGGACATTATTCATGAGAATTCAAACACATATAATGTATACTTAACATGCTACACATTAAAAGATATATATGATCTGAATTTTAAATTCAGCTCTGCACTTAGAGGATTCCCATGTGTTACTTTTGTTCAGATATGATGATTATGCTATTTAGCACATTGTATAAACACAGTGGGTTAAGAGAGCATTGGGTTAATATCAAAGTGTGACAATTATCTCAAGTTATTTAATTGCTTTGTGCTTTATTCCACGTTAAGCACAGAATTCAGAATCACGTATACTTTGAGGAGTAGTAAATTTTAAGTTCTCTATCCACTTTTTGTGAACTTTTAAATATTACTGACTGTCTTCATACTATAAAGATTAGATGTATGCTCTCCACTAGCTCTGACAATTACGCTTTTCGAGCAGTTGCCACTGACACCTACATGAAATTGTGATTCAGACTTCAAACACAATTGTTGGTACTGAACATCACAGGGCAGAGGCTACTTTTATTCATGTGCCTTAATATCGTATGAGGTGTATAAGTTTAGGCATCCAACCTTGAAAGTGTTACTTTTAATCTTTGAAATTATAATTAAATTGCTCAACCTGCACCTGTCTCCGCTCAAGCTAAGCAAAGACATACTTAAACAAATACTGTGTTTCATACATAATCATCAAACTAGGTATCATTTTCATATTGTGGGAAATTGTATTTTGGGACTTATGGTCAGTATTTATAGCATCCCCACGGTATCACCCTCTCTATAGCAATTTTGGGTGTAATAGAAATTAATTTCTAAGGTAACTGTCTGAGATACACAGAGCCGAAGAAAGTAGCTAACCTTTCTTCTCCCCTCCTCCATAGCGAGGTTGTCTGGCAGCATCAACTTCAGAAAATCTTCTTTGGACAAGACTTGCTGGCTTTCAGCAATGGCATTCCTCACAGAAGTCTGCAGTGGACTTGATGCAGACACAGCATCGATATCATCATACACTCTGTTGAGACAATTGGTGTTTTTAGCAAGAGAAGCAATAGTGCTCTTGGATTAGAAAGACTGCATTCATGTTCTGCCACAAAGTAAAAATTTTTAGAATTCTCTCCTAACACAGCATACTCTTATTTACAACATTTTTTTCCATCATTTTATATCTATGAAACTGTTTGTGGGTCCAAGATGAAATTCTTGAACCACTGAAAAATCAATACTAGGGATTCTAAAGTACAATTTAAAAAAGCATAATGCTTGTTTCCCCTAGCTTGCCTCTTTCTTTTTTACACACCATGCTTCTCTATTGTTAAAGCTGTATTTATATCAACCTTTCCAATAGCTCATCACAAAATATTTTAACTTTTACTTCCTTAGCAAATAAGAAAGTCAGTATTTTATAGTGTGATATGGCATCGAGCTTCACTTTTACTATTATATTACATATATCACATTATTATTATATTTTATTATATTAGATCACATTACTATGGTCATCAATGGCAATGTTTGAAGTGTATTGGTAATCGATTGTGCCATGTGCCAAGTGTATTTTATTATCAGCAGTTTCATTAAGACCTTTAGATAAATAAAACAGCTGTCTTACTTAATTACCAGCATATAAAAATGTATTTACAGTCAACAAAAGACTGTCAAACTGAATTATTATCTTTCAGCTTCCTTCCACTGATAAAGGAGAGAGAGGATTTTAACAGGTTTACTCTGGAAATGCAGTTGAACGAACTAGAGATTCACAATCCCACAGAACATGTATTTGAAGCCATTACTTACTGCCAAGTGCAGTATAATCCGTGACTATGACTTCAGCAGAGAGGAAACAAGCTTTGCTATGGCAAAGTGTAATTCTCAGTGAATTACATCCTATAGTGGCACAACATTCAGCAATTGACCTGATTTTCATCATCATTGCTAATTAGAGATGTTATTTTATTTCAACATATTATCCTCAGAGAGGTATTTCCTCTCTGTGATGTATACAAAGCTTTCCTTGAAAGAAAGAGGTGAAGCCATGCTGTACAACATGGAAAAATCTGAAAAGATTTTCTGATATATGAAATGCTGCCATATTAAATTAGTATTTCTTAAATAGAACTAGCTCTTGAAGATACCTTTTTAAATTGCTCTGGTTTCAGTCTAAATACCATGATTCATTATGCAATATTGTTTTAAGGGTTCCTTTCAAAATAAAGAGAAATTGTTTCAGGAGTTCATCAACTTCAAAATGCAAAAACTTGTGGGAATCAATGAAGTTACCACTTTTTAAGTGCAAATACTACTAACAACTGAACAATTTAAGCAGTTACAACACTGGTGGCAAAAAAATGAAATCACCAGTACAATAACACAAAGAAACACAACCAGGAGAGAAAGGTAGTAATATCTACTTTTGAAAATTAGGAATTTAAGAGCTTAAATGCATACTTGTATTTCATAGCACATATATTCTAGCTTATATTTTTAAACAGGAATCTTTCCATAAATACGCATATATATGCAATATGAGATACTAGATTCAAATAACCCATTCCCATTAGAGTAATCCCATATTAAACATTTGAAAATCAAGTACTGCATGTCATCTTGTCAATTTATCAAGATATATAGGGCTGACTATGATTTACTGAAAGATAGAACTGAATAGCTTATGCACAAAAAGCAAGCAAGGAGGTAGTTTGAGAAGATGATTTTGAAGATAAGTGGAATTTAAAGGTTAGTTTTAAACCAGCAGATTCAAAAATTACTTATTACTGCTGCAGCACTGGGACAGTATCATCTCTATCTGTATTTGAGATACTGCATCTTTTCCTTTGAGTGCAAGCCCTTTTCTTCTGCCTAAGAAGAACACATTTCTCTTAAGCTATTCCTGTGTTCAGCTGTACATACAGCTGTTTGTTAGAACTGCTCTAAATATTTTTGCCTAAATGTCACTTGCTAGAAAAATGTGTACGTTTATTGGAGCCTGCACGTTTTGTGCAGTCTTGTGAAGAGAGGGTCAGATATATCCACACTTAATCTATTTCTCGTGGAGTCCTAACCCCCAGTTTGTACCTGTTCATTAAAAAAAAAGTCAGAAAAAGATACCACAAAAACACCAAAATACCCCCAACTGGCATTAATTTTTTAGAATTATCTACCATAGATCACCAATAAGTTTATGTTCATCTCTCTCATCTGTAATGTATTAGCTGATGTAACAGGCAACAGGGTAGTAAGGTTTAATACAGAAATGTCAGGAAGTAAGCTTCTTCCAACTAATTAAAATTCCTGGAGATTTCTAGAAAAGGTCTTTAAGACCTTAATAAAATTTTACCTTCCCAATTGTTTCCTAGAGATGCAAAATGGAAATTCAGAATGTCTGACATAGCCATACAATTTTGCCTACACATTCTCGCAGAAATTTCCGTCAGCTTGCTTTATTTGACACATGTGAAAAAGATGCAGCTGGATAGAACAGAGGAGAAAACAGTATCCTGCAGTTACTGACTTTTCTTCTTTTTTTGGCTGTACCTCTGATACATAAAGATACAGGAAAAAAAACCCCAAACTTTTAAAAGCTAAATGGAATTTGTAATTTTTCATCACTCTATCCCATTTTAGAATTTATTTTCATTACTCTTCTCCCCCCAAGAAAGTTAAACAGAGTTCTTACTCATGGCATTCAGCAACTTCAGATTCTTCAGGTGTAGGACTTCCTTCTGATTTTTTCCACCCAATGACATATTTACTCACTGCTCCTTGTCTGTGGTACGGTTTTGAAACTGACCCAGAAATCTGCTGACTGCTATTCTGTGACACTATATAGACTTTGGAGGTATCCAGGGAGCCACTCTTTTTAGAGCAATGTGTTGATGGGCTTCCTGAATGATGTGACCCACTGAAAAAGTAAAGAAAACACACAAAAGCAAAAATGAAATCTGCTATACAAGAACAAATCAGAAATGCTTTGCCTGGCATGCAGCTGTGATTCTTAATGTTAAGTTTTTCTCAACGTTAGAATCAAGGCAGCAATATTGCTGCAGTCATTTTCTACAGACCAGCAGCGTATACATTAAAGCACTTTGAGAACAGAATTGTGATGAGTTTCTATCACAAGTTAAGTATGTAATTCAACTTGCTGAAACACTAATGCAGATTGATATGAATTAAAATTAAAAGACTAAATTCAAGACATATATAGAATTTGTGCATGCAATTTTAAATAAATATGTACGCATACATTATTAATGGTTTACATCAAGAACTACATAGGGAATTACCCCAAATATTTCTCTAATAATAAAACTTCTGTGCCTTTCCACTTCATGTTAATTTTGCCAGTCCATGCCAGTTTAAACTGTGTCTTTCAACCAGTACCGTTGAGAATTTAATATTAACAGAAGTAAATTTCAGTTCAACAAAACCAGTCCTCTGGATAATTTTAATAGCCTCTTTTATTATGAATAATAGCACTACTAGGGACTAATGAAACCTTGTACTGAAGACTCTCAAAATGATTTAAAATGAACTCAAGCAAACATTCTTCCTTGAAGAATAAATTTCTTCTTTTCATCTTGCAGGTGAAGTAACCAAAGCATCCATAAACCAAGTGCCTTGCCTAAAATCAGAGGCTGGAACCTGAAACAGCAGCTCCTAACTTTCATTGTTGGTTTACGAATACCAGAGTGCTATCTTTTAATCTAATCCCAAGAGCATTGGATTAATTCAGAGAAGACCAGAAGGTGTTGCTGAAAGCGTAACAGCCATGTCTACTTGGCTGCCCATGCTGAGTCAAATACAAGAACTGTACATACACAGATGTTATTAGGTCAAATTAAAATGCCTAGTGTGGAAGAAAGTTGAATCACTATGGCAATAGATTAATAATTATGATGACAGTTAGTACGTGCTTTTAATCTTAAACTTAATTTATTTTCCCTCCTCTCCTCCCTCTTCCCCCCTCCACCCCAAGAATTACAAACAAGTTTATGAGGTTTTGGGGGAGAAAAATAATGCAGGTGATGTTAAAAGCTTTTTTTGCCTTTTTTTGCTTGCTATCCTTGCAAATATGCAAAAAAATGATGTAAAGATGTGGTGAAGAAAATAGTTCAGTTATGAAAAACTGAAATCTAAAGATGACACAAACATTGAAGTACAATGTAAAACACATATCAGATCAACAGCAAGGACATTATATGGAGGACTTTAAACTTCTATTTGTAATTAAATTTAAGAAAAATTTGGCATCCAACCTCATTCTGTAGCTTTTTAAATAAGGGATATTTTTTGAAGTAAAGAAATAAAATACCTATAAAAGCCTGAGTTTAGATAATGAGTTCAATGCAATGGTTGGAACAGTGGCGTATGTTTTTAGGATCCAAAAGATGGTCTATGTAAGAAACAAAGCAATACTAAAGGCAGTAAAGCTAAGCTGTTTCAACTATGTAACATGAAGGTATTTGATCATTTATGTGCATAATTAATATAAAATAGGAGAGATAAAACCATTAATAACAGAACTGTGAGTCAATGTTGTGCATAGCTCAAGTCAGTCTAATAGTTTAGAGATACTGTTTCACACAGTGGGTTTAATTCTGTAAATCTTACTCAGACACTGTAGCATTAAGTTTTTTCAGGGGGTTCTTTATCTGATGATGATAGAGAATTGGGCCAGGATCTTTCAACTGACCAACATCCTTCCTGTGCATTGCACTTTATTCAGTAAACAGAATACAACAGAATAAGTTTACTATTTAACATTCATTAAAAAATTAGGAATGAATGCCTCAACAGTGTTAGAATTTAATTGTTACAGATTACAAAGAAATACAAACTTAGCGTCTGACCTGTTGGAAAGTATATATAGGATTCAGTAGTAGATACCACATGCTTATACATTTGCTCAACTTACTTATGTCTTTCAGAACACATCAGTGTTACACTTGTAAAATGAAATTTTTTTTAATAATGTATGCCTGTGGGTGCTGTATAGGTGATGCCAGCTTTTAAATCCAACTGCAAAATTATTTAGCAGTCCAACATAATTTGAAGGACATTTAAGCAAAGTTTAAATAAAACAGTTGAAAGTCTGACATTTTCCTATAGCAAAAACATTTGGAACACAAATCAGAAGGTGATAATTTGAAAACATTGCTATTGCCAAAGTGGAATTGGGCAATCCTAACATGAGTCGTGATCTCAACAGTAATTACTACTTTAGAAATGCCTGGGTAAATCACTTAAAATCTATATGCTGTGTTTGTTTGGTTTTTTGTTTGTTTTTTTAATGTTTAATTGATCCATAAAATGTTTATTCCACAGAAGTGAGCAGCACCTTACTTAATGGCTGCCTGGCACTTTAAATACGACAGCTGCCACGCAGGTGCCGAGAATATATATTCTAGCCATTAGAAATCTATTTTAGCTCATAATAATGAAGTCCTAGAAGCATGGAGCTTATTTCTAGCACTTTAGATGTCTCGATGTATAAAATTAAATCTCAACACACACAGAGTAGGGTAAATCTGGAGCTTCTATATTATCACGGGGTAGTGAAAGCTTAATGTGAAAGCATTTGCCTGGTTTTCATAATAGTCTATACAATAGTCTATAGGATCTTCTATAACTTGTGAAAAAAAAATCTAGAAGTCAGAGTAAGTATACAAGACTAATTCACTCACATCAGGCATATGAAGAAATGAGGATACAGGATATTAACTTGGTTATTTTCCTGTACTGATTGACATTGAAAACAGAAAAATCAGAGGGAAAGAAGAACAATTTCCTTCCATCCTTTACAGAGTAAAAACCATAACACATAGACCAAAGTTTCAACTTCAAAGTCACCATAAAATGGGAATTTGGAGATAAAGGCAACCAGCTGTAAAAGCGTGCTTTCAAAGTTTGCTTTACAACAGATGTACCATGCACACATTCCATTGGTAACAAAAAAAAGAACTGAAAATCAATCAGAAATTCAGTTCAACAAACAAAATTGTAAAGCATACATCACAATAATGTAAATTAGAGGGGATGCTATGCAATGCAGTTTCACTATGTGTAAAAATTGTCCATCAATACATGTAAAGATTGGCCGTTGCAATCTTCTCTCTGATTTCCCTCAGCATTAACTCCCAGGTAATTTGTTGCACTGTACTAAAAAAAAAAAGTATATGAAATAAATTCTAGTGCAGACTTCCCTTTTAATCAGGGGTGTTTCCCAACTTTAAAAACCTAAGCAATGTGCACAAGGTCACATATAAAGTCTCCATCAGATCTGCGAGTAGGGCTGGCTATGCTTTTTAGGCAGGCTTATCAAAAATTGCCTGAAAATTTCTCATACAGGCATTTAAATACAAGAACAACAACAAAATCAGTTAAGTGCACTTTCAAAGAAAGTTAAACAGAATAATAACAATGAAAAAGAGTTCTCTGTATGTTAATCCATAATACCTAATTTGTAAGTAACACGTACCTGGAATGAGAGGAGATTTCACTTAGGTCTCCCATACTGCCTTCGGCGGTACGACTGGTAGAAATAGCAGAGGCATAGCTATGAACAGCATAGATTTTAGCTGGATCATCATCTGGCACAGCAGTTTCAGAAGACTCGGTCCACTGCTCAGTACGACAATGCACTCCGGACCTGCTGCCAGCAAGGTGCAAGGGGGCCAGAAGAGGAGCAGGCATGCAGGGAGCTGTATCAATTCCACTGTCAGTAGAAGCCCCCTTTATATATGTTAATCCAAGCAGCTCAGGATCCATCAGATCTCCAGAACCAAAGTGTTTTTCATCACTGTTGCTGGATGTATTACTGGATAGGGTGTTGCTGCTTGAGTGGCTTGAACAGCTTTTGTCGCCAATCTTCACAACAAGAAAAAACAAAACAAAACAAAACAAAAAAGACCCCTCTTCAGTTAAATAATAAAATATTTATTTTCATATAAATTCGTGAATTTGTGCCATTCAAAGGCCATTTTATTCTTTTTTTATGGTATGCTATAATATAACTGCAAAGTATGGAAAGAGCTAATTATACCACCAGTTTCTATGATATGAATTGCCCAACTGGCTAGGCACATTAAAGGTTGATGCCACTGCAAATAAAAAGGGTCTAGTTCCATCTTCTATGGCAAATCTTAATATCACACTTGGATTTTCTGATTATAGGACCTGCTTAACAACCATAAAATTGCATTTCTGAACAGTTAAAATGAGCATTTGTTAAAGCTGGAAACATTGGTAATTATTTGTGTAAACAAGTTCAACTGCAAGTCTGAAAAACACCAAAGACTGAATTATCCTTGGCTTTTTCTCAGTGTGGAAGAAATATGCATCTTATTGGATCCAATCCAGTTGGATGTGTGGCTAGTTAAACTGAAGCCAATTGTAATGTATGTGTACCAGATGAAAGTAACTTAAGTCACGGGGCCCCCTAAGCTAAGCATGGCCATTGAAGTGGAATAATTATGTCAGGCATTTGAGTCAATAAAGTTGGAGGGTTTTGGTGGTTTGGCTTGTTGTTTTTTTTTTTAAAAGAGATTTTATAGAGAGTTGGATTAACTTATCTATGTGATAGAGTAGCCAGAATAAGGGCAGATGGGCTTCTATTAGGTAGAATGTAAGTGGGTAGGGTGACTAACTTTTTTACGAGATCCCTCTCCCAGTAGATGCATATAAACATAGCTGCTGTAAAGCAGTTAGACAAGGCAGCCTTTCTAGAAGTGGTACTTCCATTCCATATGGAAATTAACAGGCCACAAAATTTGACAAAATTATTTCAGAAATAAAGGAGGGGTTACAGTTGCATTCATTCTAACCTTTACAAGAGGGCCGTCACCTTAAAAACAATGGAACAACTGATAAAAATGCAATGAGCAGTTTTTCCAAGGAGGGGGACTTGGAGAAAGGTGTCTGCAGAAAAGGCATGTCACTTCAGACTGTAAATGTAAAATGGAATCAAAGTGGAAAGAAATGGCTGGGGGGGGGGGGGGGTGGGAGCAGGACACACAGATGGATATGGGCTCAAAGGCATAAAATTAACCTCAGAAGACGTATTGTGTATATGAACCTTCCCCAAGATGTCCTGTATGTTGCTGAACACACATGCATAGGCACCTTCCTGACCCTGCAAGCAGCAGAGAATCTGGGCAACAGCTATTGATACAGACATCTTGAACTGCTCAAAGTTCACTGTGCCCATAGCTTAGGATCATTTTATGCATTTCCTTGTGCCAGGAGAAATTATTGTATGAAAGCTCAGCATGGCCCTAATTGTTAAATATTGCATCATGGAGCAGGATTAAAAAAAGAAAAACCAAAAAAACCCACCCCACCACCCCCCCCAAAAAAAAAAAAAAAAAAAATATATCATTTTTATTCCAGGAGAAGAAAAAGAGCTTGAAGATAGCCAGTGAAATTCCACCCATTCTCCTTCCCCCAAGTTAAAACTGATAAAAAGACAACGTAGATTTTTTTTTTCTAATGGTTAAATATCTTACAGAGTTCTTGTGCATTTGCTGTAGTCTCAGTGTGAATTTCACTGGCTGGCAGAGAGTCATATGGCAAACTGAGCTGAACAAAAAGGGGATGCACAAGAGAACATTAAAAGGTCCTTCACAAGGTGATGATCGTTGTTTTGGGTTTTTTTGGTTTACAGCATCTAACAACAGAATAGCCTCATTTTATCTTTTATCATTTATCTATATAATAATCCTGGTTCTTACCTGGTACAATACAGTTCTTTTGCACCTGCACTACACATATCCAATACACAGGCAAACACAAACATAAGCTCATCCTAAAAGCATGAGAGCTTAGCGTAAAACTCTGACTGAAGTTAAGCAAACTCGTCATTTAACTTTGGTATTGGTGCTCTGTTTAATACTGATTGTTACAGATACTGATTCTAGATTCCTGTCAACTTTGGCTTAAGGTAAAAGCAAGTATTTCTGTCTTCATGTGCATAATTCTACAGCATGTTTCTGTTTGATAGCACTTTGTCTAAGAAGTGTCAAGCTAGATTCTCATACGGTAACAATGTACATAAGATGACAAATGGGTCTCATTCTTACCAATATGTCTACGAATAGTCTACAGATTCCTACTACATATAGCAGGTTTTTCTGTGTAACAAACACACGAAAAAATAGAAAGAGATCATGCATATCCTTAGTTTATTTTATGTCACTAAGTCATTGAGGATTTTGCCATTACTGAAGACAAGCCACTAAACTAGGTAGACTAGAAATCTGTTCAGCATTCCTGACATACAAACTACATTTTTATAGTGCTTATTGATAATTATACTACATGGGTATTTCACACAACATGACAAGTGGTGTGGTGAATATACTTTGCGGGTTTTTCTTAAAGCTGTTGTGGTTTAACCCCAGTTGACAACTAAGTACCACACAGCCACTTGCTCACTCTCCCACCCCCCATGGTGGGATGGGGGAGAGAATTAGAAAAGAAAGTAAAACCCATGGGTTGAGGTAAAGACAGTTTAATAGGACAGCAGAGGAAGAGGGAAAAAAACCCCCAAAAAACAAACAAACAAAAAAACCCAAAACAAAACAACGCCCCCCCCCAAACCAAAATACAAACCAAGTGATGCACAATGCAATTGCTCACCACCCACTGACCAATGCCCAGCCCATCCCCAAGCAGTGATTGCTGCTGCCCCAGTCAACTCCCCCCGGTTTATATACTGACATCATAAGGTATGGAATAGCCTTTTGGCTGGTTTGGCTGTGCCCCCTCCCAGCTTCTTATGCACCTGGCAGAGCAGGGGAAGCTGAAAATGTCCTTGACTGGTGTAAGCACTGCTCAGCAACAACTAAAACATCAGGGTGTTATCAACATTATGCTCGAACTAAATCCAAAACACAACACTATGCCAGCTACTAGGAAGAAAATTAACTCTATGCCAGCTGAAACAGGACTAAAGGATATGAAATACTTCACAGATTAAGCAAGCCAGTATAAATAAAGCTGTAAACACACAGCTGAGTGTAGGCTATACTGGTTTTACCTCCTCAATGCCCCAGACCCAAGTCCTCTTGGAGTTCTTAGTTTATAAACACATATTAAGCATATTCAATTCACCCCACATCTAGGTGAGCACACTCTTTGCCTCCCAAAACACACAGCGGTCTTCATAAATTACTAAAATGTATCTTTAAGATGTATGGATAGGGTTTTGTTTTGTTTTTTACATTCAAGTAAAAGACTTACATGTGAAAGTTTGTTTGGTGACTCCTTTCCACTGCCTTCTTTCTGTAAAGCCCGGTCTTTGTAGGAGCTCAGGACTTTGGTCGAAGGTGCATGCCACTTAGCTTCTGTCAAAATAATTGTATTTTAATTTCTGAATGCTAAAAAGATGAGTATACTGTACAAAAGAAAAAGGCACATTGCTTAGCATCAGGTTTCAAACCTGTACACTCTTGGGAATCAGAGTTTTAGATCTATGCAGAATTTCCTAAGATCTAATATTTCAATGATAATTAAATTAAGTTCAACCTACTTTTCATCATTCATGAGGCTTTCTGAAGTTCAGGAGTAGTTTGTTCCAGGTATCTGAATATCCCACACCATATTCTGTTAGAATGTCTGTACACAGTCCTAACTTTCACTGTCATATTACGTGCTCTTTGTGTATCAAACCTCCACCTCAGAAGGTGGCTGCACTTTAACAGGCACTGAATTGCAGAAACATTTATTTTTAAGATACAGTGGTTTTTATTACCAGAATGTCTAGTTCCATCCAAAGTTTCCTCTCGTTCTCTGCCTCCTTCACATTCCAGTGAGCCTGAACCTTGGTGGTGTTCATGGAGCAAAGGGGACTGGCACCTTTTAACAAAAGCAGAAAATTAAGCTGTTTGGGGTTTTTCCTAGAAAACTAGTTACATGATGAACAACAATATATTTTACTCTTGAAAGCAAATATTTTGTAACTGTTTTGTTTAAACAATCATCACACACATATCCCCCAAGCAAGTACATAACATTTCCAAACAGTGCATGGAAATATTTACATGCAGTTTTTAAACCAGCACGCTGTTATATCTTAAGTGTGAACCAGCCAAGAAGACACTGAGCTTTAAGAAATGCATTCTTGGAGTTATATATGCAAAGGCTTTTGCAATGGAGAACTATGGTAATGCATGCTTAACTGCTTTATGAACTAAACCCCATGAAGTAACTCTGTAGTTTTGCAGGTTTTATACTCGGAACAGGTAAGGTAGTACCAGATCCATTGCTTTGTATTGTATGGCAAAAGTTAAATTATTTACAGAATCACAGAATCACAGAATCGTAAGGGTTGGAAGGGACCTCAGGAGATCATCTAGTCCAACCCCCCTGCTAAGGCAGGCTCACCTAGAGCATGCTACACAGGACTTCATCCAGGCGGGCTTTGAATATCTCCAGAGAAGGAGACTCCACAACCTCCCTGGGCAGCCTGTTCCAGTGCTCTGTCACCCTCAAAATTTAACAAAGCAACACACTAAAACCAAGGTTGCCATTGGAAATAACTGTGCTGGAAAAATGGCACAAGATGCATTTTCATGTGTTTACTGTCAAAAAAATTGCTATAGTTTTATTTGAATTATTAGCATCTATTTAGCTGCCAGAGAATTCAGTGAGTACTCTGAAATTCCTTGAGGAGTCTCCAAGATATTGCCCATATATCTGCTACATGGAATATCTTATCCACAAACATGTTTGTCATGCCAAAGCAATATTAACCTTACGGACAAGGAGTCAAGCTGATGTTTTTAATATTCACATTTTTTCTGAAAAGTAGCTTCTGAAAGCCAAGTGGCAAGTCCGGAACGCTTTTATATTATACTATGTAGATACTGCCATAGCTCAATATTTTATAACAGGAGTGTTTTCAGCAGCTATATTTATACAACAAAGTGATAAATTTAAAGTAAATTAGAACAGATGTCTCACATAATATTCTTACAAAACTGACAGTATATTGGGGTGGTCTTTTATACACAGACAGCTAACTTCTGAAACTTCAGCACCAAGAGATTAACAGAAATGTGAAAGAACCATCTATACACTGCAACAGCCTTTTATGTAGAAGAGACTTCTGAAAAAGTGCTCCTTTTTTTAGGAGAGATGCTAGGGATTGGATGCTATTGGAACAAGCACAGGAGGAAATAAAACCTCTGAAGAGCATAAAAGATAATTTTTTAACCAAGTACCCTTCCACTGAAGCAAAAGGAAATTATTATTTTATCCCAGTTCTGAGTTACTAGCTGTTTTCTGGCCTGTTTCTGGGAAAGCAAACCTAAGAACGGTTTGTTATTTACCTGAATTGTAAAATAAAAATTTGGCCCTAAAGAGTTAAAAGTAGTACAGCTTTAAAATTGTATTGGCAGACATGTTACATTAAAAATTAGTTAACCTGTATGTCTTAAAATATGCTACAGATTTTGCAAATAAATCTAGGATATGGAACATCCACATAAATTTTACTTCCGAAAGAAGATGCATTGGAGCTAGAGCAAGAATTAAAAATAAATAAATAAATAAAAAGCACCAATACCCATCATATCCCACTTGCTGTCTCCACTGGCTGCTCCCGCTGGGTCCTGGGTCACTGGAGGAGGACTGGTTGCTCGGAGAACTTCTGTAATGTTGACTAGAGTCATTAACAGTGCACTGAGGTATTTGTGGGGTTTCAGATTTGAACTGGGCTGTGCTTCTTTTATAAAATACATTCATTTTTACAAATAATGCAGATACAGTATAAACAGTTCATTATACTCATTTGGGGAATTTACAGTTTTATCTTAGTTTCATAGAACTTAAACAAGTATTTTTAAAGGGTATTTATTTCATCACTAACAAAATACTTCCCACTGAATATATAAAAAAGGCACAAAAAGAGAAAGACTAAGTGCAAAATCCTATTCTCCTTACACCTAGCTTTACTTCTGAACAAGTGGGATTACTCAAGAGTCAGAGTAGCTGGATTAGGCCTCTAAATTTAGATGTGGGAAGCTCTTCGGATGGATCAGAAATGATTGTTGGTCACTTTGCATGTATTCTAATTTTCAACATAGTAATTTAGAAGAGGTAATATCAATACTTTTTCTTTATTAATTATTTGACATAGAAGAGCAATAAGAAAACATTTTCGTGAATAAGAAAACAATGTCATGAATTTTGTACTTATTTAAACTTTTGAGCCTTTTGTCTTAACAATGTCTCTAATTACTCTTCTTGGATTTCAAGATGGTTGAAATGCAATCTTCAAATTTGGATTTGATCACTCCACTACCCTTCACTTCTGTGCATATTAGTCTATAACTACAATACAATTTCCCTCAGTGACATTACCCTGAATTCCCTGTATTTCCATTCTTTTTTTCATTTTTTTTTTAAAGGCTATATGTAGAGAAGTATGTATGTACTCGGGGAAGAGGTGAAAAGAGGTAGTTTTGGATTTATGCACAACACTTTCCCAAGGACCTGACATTCAATAAGCAACTTTACTGTTTAGCTTGCAAATTTCAAAGACATTAGCTATTATAGTTTGTCTAACAGCAAAGACACACAATAAGTAGAGAGTGTAGTGCCTAGTTTTTCACTCTCTCTCTCTGATAAGTATTGACAGGGCTGAGCCTCTCTCAATCAAGTGAAATAGGCTGCAGTTGAATTCAGTTGCATTTTCTTGCTTCTTACCACCAAGAACTTTGCATTTCTTGCACAGCTTAAGTGAACTATCATTAAGGAATGGGTGAGTTATGATCCCATGTGTTTCCAGCCTCCAGACTGATGTTTAAGACACTGTCCTCAAAACCAGGACAATGGTTTGTACTATCCCAGACTGAAGAATGTCTAGATCCCAAGCCTCCCATTTGCTGGACAAGAGTCTAGCCATTAGCCTACTAAACAAAATGTGGCTACCAAAGGAGAACCACAGGAATCCAGCCAGTGAATGGCTCACACAGTTCCTTTACAGAAGAGTTGCAGCTACTTGCTTATCAGGAATGAATTCCAGACTCCAGGTGAAAGGATGCACTCGCCTACAGGTGTGACGCAAGGACTAAAGCAGAGAGACTTCTTGGTGTGAAAAACAGAAGAGTGAGTCTGACTGAAGCTTCACTCTTAGGCACTCGCTATGAGCAGCTGTCACAGAATTAGGCATTTTGTAAAAACAGGAGTAGAGCTCAAGGATATCCTTGTATTTCTTAGTGACTAATTAGAGGGAACTCCTTGATCAACACAAAAACATTTGGATTGCCTTCTCAAAGCACTTAACTCTCCTCAGGAACTGTACGAGTACCAGTTTTTAATTTCACTCCAGGGACTGGGTACCTAACTGTTACATGTCACAGTAGTTGAACTGTTGCTGCTTAAGTCTCTTACTGTATCTAGCCCACATTTCTGTTGCTTCTTCCTCTTTTTATCTCTAAAACCAACAATTTTATCACTGACTTCAGTGTTAGCTCATTTTCAGATCAGTTGCTATAACTTCCCTGTTTCATCAACCTGTTTCTCCCTGCCTGCACTCTTCAATTTGTCTAAATTGATATTGGGTCTCTGACCCTCTAAAATCTCTTCATCATTTTTCTAGCATGAGTATACATTTTCACTCTTGCAAAGACTACTTATATGTATTAATCAACCTTACTTCAAAGTCTTTTGTTTTAAGCCCATCTCTCTGCCAAGCCATCTACTATGCCTCTTCCCATGTGGAAAGACCTTGCCAATTAGATAACTTTCTTTTCATGTTTCAAGATCCACATGTCACAGTTCATCATTTTCCTCTCTTTTCATTATTTATACTCTGTACCATGCCTTCCCCAGAATAGCACTTCTGCATTGCACTTGTTTTGTTTAAGTGATACAAGAATTTCTTCATGACAAGAGATAACCTCTGTCTTATCATTTTTTCACATGCTTCACCAAGTGTTATGAGAAGTGCAACTTATGTTTGTGAAGTTTTTTGGAAAAGAATAGTATGTCAGCAAGCTTTCATTTTTTTCTCTGTATACAGTATGCTTAATAAAGCTTCATAAATCCTGAAGTATTTCTAGACATTTCTAGAGCATTGTCTCCTTATGCTAGATGTTACCGAGAGTTTCAGTAACAAGACATTAGGAAAAGCTTAACTCCTATAATGGTATGTACCTTTCCTTTTTTTCAGGGGATGAGGAGGGGGTAGGGGAGAAGAATAAAAATGATCAAATGGTCATAACTGGGAGTATGCTTTCCCCAGACCATGACAGAGACATATTTTCAAATATGTACTACTATTATCTGTATATATTTAAAACAATGTAAAAAGTCACTAATTCCTTTCTACTGAATAAGATAGAAAGTATAGCAATAGTGGTATTTCATGATTTAATCCAGAATTTTTTAAAGCTATTTAAGACTAGGATTTTAGATTTTCGTATCAATTAACTATTTTCAACATGCAGTATTTTTTTCCTTAGAAAGTAGAACTACATCACCCCATGGAAAAAGGGCATAAGCAGAAATAATTGCAAACAAAAAAGGGCAGAGTTCTGCTCAAGACATATGGTTTTCCTAAATAATTCAAAGGTCAAATGTATTTACAAATTTTTAACTTTTTATCTTATGAAGAATTATGATTAAATTAGAACAGAGCTAACATTTAAGGATAACATCCCATCATTTAAGAGGTGTTACATATTCAAATCACAAGCTCTGCTTTGTTTAATGAAAAGCAAAGCAAAGCATAAGGATTGGTAATGAGTTACAGAACCCTTTGAAACTATGCCAATAGCTTGGTAATGAGATTAAATAAGTCATTTTTAAAAGGGATGAGTTAATTTTATTTACGCTCATTACTTGTTTAAATAGGATCCCAAAAGGTGGGGTACAGGATGTTGTTTAGATCAAAAAATGACAAGGTAGTTTCCCACTTTATTGATTTGGGACTAAAGGGAAAGGTTAGTGGTAGAATCATCAGTACAGCCCACTTCCATCATAAACAACAGAAGTTTCAAGTAGAGGGAATCGGACAGAGTGACTGCTCTTTAATACAACCTCAGGATTAAAATTATTGTCAAAACTCAATAAATTAAAGCTTAAAAAATGAGCATGCCAAAGTTCTAGAAAGCAGAGATATGTAAAGTAAGGCAGATGAGGAAAATGACAGGCGTTGAACGGAGAGTGTATTACCTTGCACCATCTGGCAGTTTTCTATCAAAGGAAGTGCTGCGAGGAATGGCTGTCTGAGCCTGCTGGAGAAGCTGCTGGCACTGCAGTCTGTCAGATGTTCCTAGGATTGGAGAGGCACGAGAGAGAGGCTGCCCAGCGGGAGTCGGCACCCGATGCCAAGTGGTATTCCTTCTGAAAGGGGTTTTATACTCACATGGGGTGCCTTCGCTGTCAAGTTTGTATTCCACCATGGGTATACGACAAAGTTCTGAACAACCCCTGCGGGACAAATAACAATGCTGATCAGTCTCACTGGAGGGAACAGAAAAAGAAATCTTGCATTCTACGGTCAGAAGCATATGCATATTTTTCTTCCGGATGCCTAAAGGTGTTCATACAGCATTGTACAGCCCTTCGAATGCTTCAGAGCTATCATGCCAACCAGGAAATGTAGGAAACATTTCAAAATAAAGGATTTGCTTTCCTGTGCTGAAAGGTTTTTGAACTCTCTCCTTGCTCATCAAAAAGGAGAAAATACTAAGTTTTTATAAATTAATCTGCAGCTTGAATTTCACATAATAAAAACTAGTAGAAGCAAGGCATTCAGAAGTCAGCAAACATCAAGTTCTTCTATAACAGCCTTAGTTTGTTTAAATTTCATAAACACAAATAATTTCTTAATGTACAAAACAAGTTTGTTGCTTTGCAGCAAACTAAATATTTCTTAGTGGTATTGAGAACTTTCCTTTACAATCCCACCTTATCCCCACCAAATGACAGAGCCTATACACTGCGATGCAAATGATTAAGTGGCATGTAAATATTTTTCTATTTGTTTTCAAAGTGCACTTTCTATTGTCTCTCTTCCTGGGGGTCTCTATGCCTGGAAGAGAAATGGGGAGGCAGAAGGAAGAGAAAAATCAGAAACAGTTTAGCGTACAACCTCTGCTTGAAGCTTAGAGTGCAGCATTCCCAGCAAGTGTAAACTCGGGTAGAAGCAGTGACAGTGTTCCCCAAAAGATCAGTCTGTCAGTGGGATATTTGCTGTATTTGTTTCAGAAATTAGTTAATTGAAGCTTCACACCCACTTTAAGCCAGCACTGATTATCATTGCAGATATTTTATATTCACACATACTGTCTGCATTATTTCTCTGACAGGCAGTGTGTACCAAATTAATGTCTATAAAGAAGATACCCTAAATAATTCTAATGCAACGCATAAATTTGAGGAAGAAATAGTGAAAATTTGCTTTTCTGTTTCACCTACAATTCTGCTCTATTCCTTAGCTGAGCCTTGATCAAGCTTTGCTTTTGTTGAGAACTCAACATTCACCATTTCCAACTAAATTAAAATCACCTAGAGAAAGTGTAATAGAGTGGGTGTAAAGTGTTCACGGCCTTAATCTGGAAAATGTCTTGGGACAAATGACTTAGCACAAATGTGTGGCTCAAAATAAATTGTATAGATTCTCATACATTAAATTACTGTGCCCCAAAGTTTCTGAACCAAACACTAAAAGAACATTTTCATTGTCAGTGAAAGCAGATAAAAAACAGATTAAAAAAAAAAAATAAATATATATATTATAAAAATGCTAACTATGTTATTTTGGGTTGTTGAGAAGATGCATGTGCAACTGTATCAGTTATATAGTAAATACTCTGTATATGCCCAGTCTGATCCAGCCAAATGCTCCAGGCTGCTCAATTTTGTGGTGCTAAACAGGCAAATTGTTTATCCTGTAGCCTTAAATCTCAGTCCCTGCTGGCACTCAAACATAAGAAAAAGGTAAATAACAAACTATAAAATATGGAGGACAAAGCATTAAGAGTGGAGATTAGTAGCCAGTGTAGGGTAGAAGACACCACGATGAAGACCAGCGCTGAAGAGGGGTCACTAGAATACTCCAAAGCAGAACCCAGAATTCCTAGTTCTTTAAGGTTACGCTGTGATCAGAAATATCTGTATTAAACTCAGCAGTAAAATTTGACATGAGTAAACTCTGCTGACAAAGCATAGCTGGATATGCTGGAATTTCTTTTATTTGTTTATTTTTTAAAAAATCTAAAGCATCATGCTAAAACTGTACATCAGAAGAACACTGTTGCAAGCTTAAGAACTCAGAAGGTAAAAAATTTCAAAATTATTTCTGTTGCACATGTAACTTTACTGTCCTCTGTCTGTGGAGTAAAATAATATAATTTCTCTGTTGTTTTTAGCAAAGAGCTCTTTATCTCATTCCATGCACATAAAAGACAGCATTCATTAAAGAGATATTACTCAATATATAACTAGCATTATGTTTTAGTATGTCAGATATTCAGTTGCATTTTTCTGTACTGATTTGTAATAAGAAATTATTTGATGGCTGCATACTTTCACTGTGTATAAAACTCATTTCTTTCCAGCTCCTCTTATCTCCCAATATCAGAGAATTTCACAAGAATGATTTTCTGGTTGTAGCTTCCTGATGGAGGTAAGAAGACCCTAATAGTCTCCTCCCACAAACAAGGAACAAAATTACAGAGAAACCAATGCTATACAATTATCAATTAATTTCAGAAGGTCAACTTGATATATCTATAGCTTTCACCCTGCCCCCAAAATGCCACATTTGTTCACACCACCACTTCAAACTACCTCAGTTCATTTATCTGTTTTTAAAAATTGTTTCATACATCTAAAAACCACAAAACATATTGGGTTCTTAGAATGATGAACACCATGGAAAGGCTGAGTTAAGCAAATTGCATAGAATTGCACAAATATTTCTACTGCAGAAGAATACACACATAGAATACATTTCTCCAGTGCAATATTCAACTGCTTGTATCCCAAGACCATTCTTCTCTTCATGAAGTTCCCTGCCTCATTCATTGCCTGCAAGAAATGACACCGAGGTGTAAGAGACAATACCCTCTAGCAACGTGACCTTGATTCATTGCCAGAGCAGGTCCCTGTTATATGAATGTGGAAAGTTCTTAAAGGAAAAAATTGCCTAAGATTGATTATTCAATTAAAGACTTTCATAAAGCTTTGTATACAAAAGAAACAGAACAAAGAAAGCCCAGATGACACAGCAAGGTTAATATTAGTTCAGTGCACTGCGCAATTTTTCATGTGGCCATATATGCACAGTTTGTCATTATTTGACTGGGAAGTTGAACGATTATGTAGGCTACAATGTCAATCATCCTTCTGCTGATTTCTTAGTATTGTTTCACTCCCTTCTTCATTCCTTTAGACCTTAAGTGTTAGAAACAAACCATCACCTCCCCTCCTTTAATTATTAGGATATTGATTTCACGGTTTGTCTTGGTAATTGAGGAAGTTATAGCATGTAATTGTCATTGTATCCCTTATTAGATACTGCCCATAAAGTACTTAAAGTGCTGTAAAAATAGCCACAGGTTTTGAAGGCAAAAGGGATTGTTACTACTATTTAGTTTGACTCAGCTTGCTAACTGAATAACTAAAGCATGATAAAAAAATAGTAAACAACAGGCTTTCCCACAAAGAATGAGAATTTAAAATTTTGTAAAATTCTGTGTTTGTTTACATCCCTAAAAGGTATTCCTCTGATAAATGAGAAAATTATTCAGGGCACTGTTCCTGCAAAAAAAAAAAAATGGCTAACAAACCAAGCCTATTTCAAAACACTATAAAAATCTAACAATGTTACTTTTAAATTCAAAATAGAGACCCAACATGATTGTTGTAATTGGCGCCACAAAAATTTCCATGATTAAAATGGAACTACTTTATATGGCTTCCTTTGTCACATAGACTTTTTAATTTTGAAGTGCCAAACCAATCAATTCAACATTTATATGAAAAAGTATGCTTCTTTGCTTCACAAGCACTGCCTAAAGAACAGATACTGCAGTGTAGAGAGATATGTAAAGTCATAATTGTAGCTACCTCCAATATCAGAAACAAAGAGAATCAATTAATTCAGGCCTACAATCCAACAAGGGTCCCCACCCCCCGCCATGGATCAAACTGCAAGTTATCTTGCCTGTAAAAAAACCCAAATTAAATGCAATTTCCTATTAAATATTTAATCGGACCATTATCTAGCTTCTATTTATAATATTGTTACTTATTCCACTGGATAAAGAATATACATTGGCACTGGTATTGAATGATAGCTTTTAATTCACTTTTAATTTTAGGGTTTTAATTTTTTTTAAATTCACTTTAAAGAATATGTAAAGATGAATCTATATTTTAAGGTCTTAAAAAGATATTTAAATTTATGTTAAACAAGTATAGGATATCAAACATCTTTCCCAATTATGTTCAGTACAACATTTTGAAAAATGGACTTGTGTTATTTATCAAGTAAGTGTGACCAAGTCTTAACCACACATCAGAAATGATAGCACTTTCTGTCCTTCACTATAGTTTGGTATTAATTAAATCAATCCTTTAACACAAAGCACAGACTCCTACTAATATCTTTGGTTCAAGAGCCGTATTATCCTATAAAAAATGTGGTTAATAAAACCTACTCTGCAATTACACAGAGCATGACTCTACGATACAGCTAGTAGGTCATGACTGCATATGAAAATTTTAGAGTCCACTGTAAAAATCGGCAATATTCAAATGTTACTGCAAGGAGCATTATGTTCTGAAACAATTATCAAGCAGCCCATTAAATTTTTCAAACTATGTTAACCAAGCCATCAATATTAATTTCAGATTCCATATAAAGGTTCTGTAAAGGGCCCTGTGCAGGGCCTACATTAGGCAAGGATGCTAGTTAAACATGAATGTTAAATCTCCACAGAAAAGTTAGAAGCTTCCATACACTATGATCAGCAGTTTGGCACTTTGATAACAACAGAAAACCCTTCTTTTCAGTTATATCCTACCACTGCCAACTGCTTGGTACGACTCTGGTATTTGGACCCCAACTATCTACAGATTCAGTGTATCATGAAGGATTTGTTAGGGTAATAACAAAACTAGAATAACTGGTTACCATTTAACTTCAGTTCAATGTATCACAGATCTGAACCACTAAGGGGGATGTAGAAGTAGAGAAACATAATCATTGGTGTTTCACCAGTTGTATTGCACCAATAAATTATACCTTACTATCACCATTTCAGTTCAAAACATTTAATTTTGCTCAATAAGGAGCCTTTATCTATATTTAGCAGTACAATAAGTAGTTGCGTTCTAACTCAAATTTTGCACTTGGAAGTGATCACTTCTATTGCAGTGCATGTTTGTTCCTACCCTATAGCAATTCCCACAAGGTGTCA